CTAGCACAAAATCCGGAGTTTCATCGCAGAACCAAACACATTCCCATCAAACACTTTTTTATAAGAGAAAAAGTGACAGAAAGAAAACTTGGTGTTTAACAAATCTCCACTGAAGATCAATTGGCGGACATCATGACCAAGCCTTTACAGAGAACACCCCTGAAGATTCTTTTGGAGAAGATAGGACTTGTAAATTCAACTAAGATAAACAAGGGAAAGTGTTGAAGTTATGTTTAGTAATAGTTGAATTCGATATTTTCTAAGTTTTATGCTATAGTAGGCGCTGGCATGATATCCGTTGCTTTTGTATTGTTTGTTTGTTTCTTTTGTTTTTCCATGGCAACCGCGCCACCCCTACACACATATTCTATATATATATATATATATCTATATATATATCTATATATATATAAAAGAAAGTCGTGTTGGTTAACTCCTTTATAACTGAAGAACGGCTAATCCAATTTAGCTAAAAATTGGTGGAGAGGTAGCTTAGGGCCAGGAGAAGGTAATAGGATACTTTTTGAAATGAAAACTTTTCTAAAAGGGCACTAAACGACACTAAAAAGAGACAAACATATTTGCATATATGGATTATCTTGTGGGAGAATAAGAAAACGCAAATACAAAGTTTTCTATTATCCCCGTCTCCTCTTTGTGCGATGCTCCGTAGCTTCCCCCCTAAGCATAGACGTGTGTATGTGTGTACGTGTGTGTTGAAGTTGACCGGTTAATGTTTTTGTTTGGAGAAGGTTACTAGGATACTTTTTGAAGTGAAAACTCCTTTAGAGAACACTAAACGACACTAAAAGGAAACAAACATATTCGCTTATATGGTTTAGCCTACGGGAGAAAAAGAGCACACAAATTTAATGTTTTCTATTATCTCCCTCTCCTCTTTGTGCGATTCGTAACTTCCCCCTAAACATAGACGTGCGTGTGTTTGTACGTGTTGGTTGAAGTTGTCCGGTTGAAGTGTTTGTTTGAATGAGACTTAGTAAGTGTAGGATACTTTTTTAATACTTTTTGAGGTGAAAACTTCTTTGGAAGATACTAAACGAGTTTTCTCCGTCTCTTCTTTGTGCGATGCGTACCTTCCCCACTCAACATGCAGCGACCAAAACGATCAAATCTTATCCGACAAAACCGTAATGCAACTAGGATTCGAAGGATTGCGAATGAAAGGACTGTAGAAGAACAAAAAATTGCACGTGAAAAGCACCGTGTTAGTATGACTGACTCTCGTGCTTCAATCACAAGAGCAGCGAGGCGGAACAAAGTTTGCCGGGTCAGCTAGTTCATATATAAATCTCGTGTCAGCCACCGTTTGTCTTCAATGGACCTCAAACCACTTAACCGGATTATAATAAAATTGCACACCATGTGCAGTTCGATCCAACTTGAAAGATAGATAGTTTAAATCTCAAATTATAGCAATTTTTAATTTCTATTGCTAATTATTTGTGATATCGTAAATACAAAAGTTTCTATTATCCCCGTCACACGTATAGACGTGTATGTGCAGTTGAAGTTTATCGGTTGATGTTTCTTGTTTGGAGAAGGTTACTAGGATACTTTCTGAAGTAAAACTCCTTTAGAGAACCCTAAACGACACTAAAAAGGAAAACAAACATATCTTTTCGCTTATATGGTTTTAGCCGCCTACGGGAAAAAAGAGCACACAAATATAATGTTTTTATCTCCGTCTCACCTCTTCGTGCACCCAGTAGCTTCTCCCAAGCATAGACGTGCAATTCAGCGTCCCCAAGCATAGACGTGCGTGAAACGTTGGCATTTTTAAAGGAAACCGCAACCCAAATCAGTGTGTAAAAGGAAACAATCATATTCGCTTATATGGTTTGTAGCCTTACGGGAAAAAAAAGAGAATAATAAATATAATGTTTTTATCTCCGTCTCCCCTCTGTGCAATCTGTAGCTTCCCCTTAGGCATAGACGTAAGTGATTCGTAGCGTCCCCTCTAGGTATATTACATAGACGTGCGATTCGTAAATGTCCCCTAAGCATAGACGTAAGTGGTGAAACGTTACATTTTAAAGGAAAACTGCAATCCAAATTCAAAGTTAGAACAAAACTTTAATTGTGCACACTTAAAAAATGTTCCGGGTTAGAAACCTTACATTAACCGTTATTAATAAAATAGCGTTTCAAAATGTAGAAACATATAAAACTACATAGGCGAAATACTGCTGAGTTTGATACCGTTATTGATACAGTATGTGTGTTTACTTACTATAAATTTTATAATACTCATATTAAAAAAAATTATAGGAAATATCGTACAAAGTCGTTAAGTGGAAATATGGTATAGAGCTAATGAAGTTCGCGTAATAAAGAGCGAAATGAAAGGACTGGAGAAGAACAAAAATTGCACGTGAAAAGCGCCGTGTTAGTATGACTCATAGCGAGGAGGAACAAAGTTTGCCGGGTCAGCTAGTAATTGATAAATATCATCCTAAATTGAGTTATAATAAAAACAAATTATTGCCGTGCAACCAAGTGGTGATCTCCAAAGGTCCAGCAACATCATCCCGCTTGGCAGCACGCAACAAAAGTCAGGCTGATTAATTATTACTGATAGTACGAATGTTGAGCGTTATTTCCTTTCAGCGTTCGCAATTCCCCCATAATCCCTTAGCTATACATGCAAATAGACTCAAATTAGTTACTCATTATAATAACAGGATAATCAATTTCATTGACCAATATTGATAAACTCAAATGTCCCCAAAATCAAAAAATCAATTGTTGGTTTAGATAAAAAAAATATAGAATTGTAACAGCAATTCACACCTACAATGTATATATCTTCTATACTATAAAAATTAATCGCAAAAAGTGTTGGTAACCGCTTTTCTCAGCAACGCCTTGATCAATTTGGCCAATTCCTTTTTTAAATGTTCGTTAAAGTCAAAGAGTGGTTTTAACGGCGAGAACATTTTGAATAATTGCCGGGAAAATGGGGAAAAGGCAAGATTTCTTTTTTCAACAGAAACAAATTGCCTTTTCTACCGAGTTGTTCGGGCCAAAGCCGACAAACGTATCGATACCACGTCGAAGTGTTATCATATACATTTGGCAAACAATTATATGCTTTGTTCTTTGTTCACTCCAGACTGCAGCTGCATCATTCTTGCAACGTTAGCAGGAATATCCCCAAGACCTTCATTTGCTTCAGCTTTGTAATTCATTCGCTCTTGAGCTTTTGTGCAAGTTACACGGCAAATAAATCGTAAAACCAGCAAGAGTTTTGTTCACTGCATACCTCATCCACCACATTACTATTTTGCCTTGGAGCGTACAGAGTCGCTTGAGCATTGCAAACAAAAATCGGGCAACCGTCTTCAGAACCATGAGGACAAGCTACGCAGGTATCGCCCCAACACGAGTTTTCTTTTGTCAACTGACAAACAAAACAAATTCCATAGCTTTCTTCGGTTCATTTTTGTTTGATTGTTTCATTTCGTTTTGTGAAAAGTATTTAAAAACGTATTATCAATAATTATTGCATGTGGTACAATTTATATACGATATGCCTCCTATAAAAAGAGGTAAGTTTGTTAGAAGAACCCGAAATGCTGCAAAACAAACTAATTACAGCTCTAATTACACAGCACAACAACGTGACGAGCAAATGAACGTGTAAGATTTCGGATATCACAAACGCGTGAAGCGCGAACGCGAGATTCAACTAATAATCGCGCAAATTTGAATGGAGCTGCTTTCAGTTACGATGTGTCAATTGACTACAGTGACTAATGTGTTGCTATTGGATCTATGAACTTAGTTTGCCCACATTGTAAGGCATTGAAATACAAAAATGAAGCCATTGGATCCATCATCAGAGCCATTGTACTCATTGGTTTCGGGAATAGGAACAGATTCCATCCACTTTATGAAAAATATCCAGCAGTATAACAATTGCTTTCAAATGACTTCATTTGGGGCAACAAATGTAATTCGGGAAAATTTTATGTCAACTTCCAAGGTACATATTATAGCATTAATTTCTTTTATAGTGTTTGGTAGAAACATAATACTTTTTTAAATTTTCAGATACAAGGCCAAATATATCATAGAACAGGTTCACTGTTACCAGTATCAGAATCAGATAGCAACTATAAATTCCTGCAAATTTATTTCATTGGCAATTCATCAGAAGAAATTGATCTGTGTTGCTCACATAACAATTCAGTAAAGAGGTCTATTGTAGAACAATTACAAACTTTATTTCATGAACGCAATCAATTGATTATTTTGTTTAAAACTGCACTGGATCTGATGCCATCTGATAATCACAGAATTGTAATCAGAGTTGACAAAACACTTGCGGGTCAACATGCATGACGTTTCAATGCACCAACTATTGATGAAGTTGCCTTCGTTGTAGTTGGAGAAAACTTGGAATCCTGTGATATTGTTTTACATCGTCGGAATGATTAATTACGACGTATAAAGGAAACACCACTCATGATGCACTGCAATATCCTATTATATTTTGGCAAGGTGAAGGTGGCTATGATTTCTCAATCAAGATGATAGATCCCAATACAGGTAATTGAAATATTAGTTTAGTTAGCTGTGGAGATAATATCTCAGTCACTATATTATAAATTTTAATTTTATATTTTCATGTTCTTAAAACAAAAATCTATTTACAGGTTTGGAAACCAACAAAAAAGTTAGTTCAATGAAGTACCGCCTAATGATTCGCGAAAATGAAGAAAATCACATATTGAAATGTCGGCGATTATATCACAAATATGTTGTTGACATGTATGTAAAAATTAAAACGGAGAGAACGGAGAGCTTGAATTAGAGCAAACTCCGATCTGAAGAGTATATTCACCTTCGAGATGCGATTAATACTGATGGAAATGCCCAGAATGTTGGCCGGATGACTATTCTTCCCGCAACATACACCGGAAACCATCGACATATGCATGAATATGCTCAAAAGCCCATGTCGTATGTTCGTCATTATGATACAGCTGATTTGTTCATCACATTCACATGCAATCCCCGCTGGACAGAAATCCAGCAAGAGTTATTCCCTGGGCAATCACCCATTGATCGTCAAGATATTACAGCCAGAGTCTTTAGGCAAAAATTAAAATTTTTAATGGTTTTCATTGTAAAACATAATGTTTTTTGGTGAGTCACGCTGCTGGATGTATTCTGTGGAGTGGCAGAAATAAGGATTGCCACAAACACACATTCTGATTTGGTTGGTGGAGAAATAAGGCCAAATGAAGTTGATGCAGTGATATCAGCTGAAATCCCTAATATTCAAGTAGATCCGGAATTGCATGATATAGTTACCAAAAACATGATATATGGTCCCTGTGTAACTCTTAATCCAAATTCACTGTGTATGGTGGATGGTAAATGTTTAAAGCGATATCCACGGACATTAATATCGGAAACAATTACTGGTAATGACGGGTATCCACTGTATCGTCGCCGATCGACAGCAGACAATGGAAGATCAACAATTGTCAAATTAAATCAACAAGATATTGAAGTAGATAATCGTTGGATAGTTCCATACTCACCTATTCTATCAAAGACCTTCAAAGCGCACATCAACGTTGAATCTTGCCATTCAGTAAAATCTATTAAATACATTTGCAAATATGTAACCAAAGGGAGTGATATGGTTGTGATTGGGATTGGTGCAGAGAATTCCAATGATGAAGTTACCCATTACCTAATGGGCCGTTATTTTAGTAGTCATGAAGCAGTTTGGCGAATATTTTCTTTTTCTATTCATGAGAGATATCCTACGGTTGTTCATTTAGCTGTGCACTTAGCAAATGGGAAAAGAGTGTATTTTACTGCACAAAACGTAGTACAAAGAGCTGCTCAGCCACCGTCCTACTACATTAACCAGTTTTTTTTGAGACATGCCAAAACGATGATTTTGTAGTTTTGTACGATTTCTCTTAATGATTATCGTTGTTTGATTACCTCATTACCTCATTTTTTTGTTTTAAATTGAACATTGGTAGTTCTTTATAAGCATTTGCTTTTTACGTAGATTATTTGACAAAGTCATGGCGAATATTTGCTTTCGAAAGAGAGGTTCGGGTACGGTTGTGACATTACCATAATTGTTTTTTTTTTTGCTTCTAGATGCCCAGAAAGCGCTTGCGAAAGACTGAAAGAGCGCGATGTGACATCAGTAATTATGAATATGCTTATGAAGAAGTGAAACGCGGAACTTCTTTACGAAGAGCTGCGGAAATACATGAAGTTAATCGCATGACGTTGCTGCGATACATTCGGAAACGCGATGAAGCGCGTGGGATATATTGCTCATAATAAAGTATTCTCAAACAAGCAAGAACAGCAGCTGACAAAATGTATCACACGTTGCGCGGATATATATTTTGGCCTTTCCACAAAAGAAGTGCGGCAGCTGGCATTTGAATTGTCAACAAAATACAACCTAAAGCGACCAACTACTTGGGTTGAAAATAAGATCGCTGGTGAGGAATGGTTCCGTTCATTCATGAACAGAAACCCTTCACTATCTGTACGTGTAGCTCAGGCTGCAAGCCTTTCGAGAGCAACCAGTTTTAATAAAACAAATGTGGAAGCAAACGGTTTTGGATAGACACCTATACGAGCCACAAAATATATATAACGTTGATGAGACAGGTGTCACTACCGTGCAAAGACCTGATAAGGTCGTGGCAAGACGGGGCATAAGGCAAGTAGGAGCTGTCACTTCAGCTGAACGTGGCACGTTAGTTACTGTTGCTTTTGCAGTCAATGCCTTAGGTAACGCAGTTCCTCCCTTTTTTTGTATTCCCGAGAGTACGTTATCATGATCATTTTGTTTGAGATGGTCTGGCGGGATCAATTGGAACTGCAAATCCTTCAGGTTGGATACAGGATGCCTCATCCTTAACATTTCTCAAACATTTTAAGAACTTCTCAAATGCTTCTCTAACACATAAAGTTTTTCTATTGCTGGATAATCATTCCTCTCACATTCATATTAATGCACTAGATTTTTGCAAAGAGAATGGCATTACTCTTCTATCATTTCTTTCGCGCTGCTCGCATAAGCTGCAGCCATTAGACCGATCTGTCTTTGGACCACTTAAAAAGGCTATAAATACTGCTTGTGACGGATGGATGAGGAGTCACCCTGGCAAAAACAATGCCTACTTACGACATTCCAGGTAATATCAAGACTGCTATGCCGCAGACTTTCACACAAGCGAACATTCAGGCAGGTTTCAGCAAAACTGGTATTTATCCATTTAATCGAAATCTATTCCAAGAAATCGGATAGATCAAACCCTCACATTGAAAATAACATTCCATCAACACCATCTACTGAAACCGACGTACAAAATCTTGATTCTGTAGAGAACAATCCGGAACTCAACAATCAGATGTTGCCACCTTTAGATTCTTCGATTCCAATTACAAACTAAATTCAGCCAATTGCATCAACCTCAGCTACGCCGCCTGTTTTGTCGCCTAAAAGTTGCCGAATCCATTCGATTGCATCATCAGCCTCGCCCAAAATTGTCCAGCTTCAGCCAATGGCATCAACCTCGGCCACGCCACCTGTTTTTTCACCAGAAATTGTTCGACCATTTCCGAAAGCTTCTCCAAGAAGAACCAAAAAGTCAACCATTTACACTGACACACCCGAGAAGGAGGCAGTTAGGAAAGAACACGAAGAAAAAGAAAAACGGTTGAAGATTAAACTGGTAAAGAAAACTCTTAGTAAGGTAAATGAAAATAGAAAATGAAAAAGTAAAGCAAAGAAAAGAAAGACGACTCAACCGAAGAGTATTTCTGTCTGGTTTGTGTGAGCTCATATTCTGAAAGTAGGGCTGGCGAAAAATGGATCAAGTGCCACGTAGAGTGCGCTGGTGATAGTCACCATTACATTTGTCACAACTATGATGAGGACTCTGACTAGACATTGTGGTCGTCATATATTCATAAAAGTTTATTGTTTCTTTACTTTTATTTAATTTTTATTAATATTTGTTAAGCTTATTTCATAGTTACGATTTAGATTAATTACAGAGTATTTGTTAAGTTATGTTTGTCTCAGTTATGTCAATATTAGTTAACATTTTGACAGAATTTGAGAAGGCTGTTATAATAACTTTAGATGTTACAGTGCCTTATTAATCTTAAGAATACAAATGATCTCAGATTTTGGTTCATGTCCTATATGAAGGTTAACTTAGAAGAATATTATGTTGCATATGTCAAATATTTCTAGCAATAAAAATAATTATAGGCCATTTTGGTGTATGTTTTTGCATGTCACTACCGAACCCAACCACTGTCACATCCGTCATTGGTGTGTGGCCGGTTGTGACAATTTGACTTTATTTTTTAAATGTATCTTATTAGTTACACGTCGTATTTAGGGCCAACATTTTAGTATTCTTGTATAGACAAATGTACAAATTACGATAAAAGTTACTTTTCTACGATCTAACTGGTAAATTAACAAATCGTACCCTACTTGGAATCAATCCTCAAAGAAATGTATACGACGAAAACAAGGAAAACCAGTTCCAGGGTACCCAGGTGGATGTTCTGCCGATGCGATTGGTCGAATTTATTCAGTATATCCAAGCAATGATGAATGTTTTTATTTACGACTGCTATTGGTTAATTTACGTGGCCCAACATCATTTCAATTCCATTTACGAACTGTTGATGGTGAATTCTGTGGATCCTACATAGAAGCCTGTCAACGTTTGCAATTGCTAGAAAAGGATGTTCATTGGGATCAAACTTTCCATGACGCTGTAACATCATCACAAGCTCATCAAATTAATACGAACATTATTTTCTATAATCATATCTACTTGCTTCCCATCAAACCAAATTGATTTGTGGATTAAGTACAAATATAAAATGTGTAATGATATTTTGCATCAAATACGGAATAGAACAGGAAATTTAAATATACAATTCAACGAAGAAATTTACAATGAAGTATTGATTTTAATTGAGGACATGTGCTTGATGATGTCAAACAAACTTTTATTACAATTAGGCCTGACCCCACCCAATCGTCCAATGCATGATGATTTTAACCATGAGTTGCACCGAGAAAAACTGTATGACCTCAACACTATGAAGGTATTAATTCAAACAAATCTTCCACTACTGAATGAACTTCAAAAGTATGTATTTGATACTGTTATAAAAGTATCAAATGATGAAACATGAGGGATTTACTTCTTAGATGCAGCTGGTGGTACAGGAAAAACTTTTTTGATTCCATTAATATTAGCCACAATTCGTATACAAAATAAAATTGCACTTGCACTCGCTTTATCGGGAATTGCAGCAACTTTACTTGAAGGTGGTCGAACAGTCCATTCAGCACTAAAATTGCCATTAAATATGCAAATCAATGAAACATCTTTAAAGTCCTCCAATTTGTGGAAGCATGTCAAGGTATTACATTTTAGCAAGAATATGCGTGTTGAGTTGCAAAACGACCCATCTGGAGATATTTTCTCTAAACAACTCATTGACATTGGTAATGGCAAATTTCCTATAGACATGTTGACTGGCTGCATTAAGTATCCTCAAAGTTTTTGTCAGTTAACTCGATCAAAAGATGAAGTTATTCAAAAGGTGTTTCCAGATGTTGCTCAAAATTACAGAAACCACGATTGGTTGAGCGAACGAGCTTTATTAGCTGCCAAAAACATGAATGTAATATGAATTAAATTTAAAAATTCAAAAACAAATTCCAGGCGAATTGAGGATATATAAATCAGTTGATTCGGCTACTAACCAAGATGTTGTCAACTATCCACCGGAATTTTTAAACTCGCTCGCAGTTAAAGGTTGGAGCGGTAGTTACAGGGGCGTAGCTACCGCCGTATTTGCCGTATCAATTATACGGGGCCCCGGGGGCCCCCAAAGTGTGTAAGGAAAAAGAATAAAAACTTTCTAATTTATTTTATTTTACAAATGACAAAATTCTATAAAGCAATTCCTTTTTTTCCCGCCTTAAGCGTGCGTTCAAAAGTTTTAGCAAAAGAGTGGGGGGTAACAACTGTTTTTAAAAACAGTAGGCGAAAGATAACGAAGCGTTTTTTTGATTAGTTATCAATCCTATTTCAAAGTCAATGTATACTATTGCTGTTTAGATATATTAATTTCTCAAACTAAAGAAAGATTTCAGAGCCTTTGAAACCTGAGTAGTATATTCGAAATATTACAACCGGAAAAACTCCTATCTTCTTCAAGCGAAGAGATATTAAACGCTTCTGGAAAACTGTCTGCTAAATACAGTAACGACATCTCACGTAATCTTTGTGACCAATTAAAGGCTCTAAAAACATGCTTAAATTCTGAAATTAAAAAATTTATTCCATTAAAGAACTCATTGAATTATTGCTGGTAAAATTCAATAGTCTTACATCCAGTTTTCCCGAGGTAAGCATGCTTTTTATTCTTGACCCTTCCAGTTACAACCGCAACGGCAGAAAGAAGTTTTTCAAAATTAAAACTAATCAAAAATTACTTAAAAACTTCGATGGGACAAGAACGGCTGTCAGACATCTCACTATTGTCCATAGAGGCAGAAACTTTAGAAAAACTAAAATCATCATCAGCCATAAAT